ACGGAGTCATAGTCTTTAACTCCAAATCAAAACTCAAACACCTCAATCTCTACTTGAAATTCAAAATAAAAGTTTAAACTAATATCCAAAAAGGCAACAAACAATTAAAGCAAACCAAGCATGATTTTCAATGATTTGTCATAGTACCATATCAATTTGTATTGTATATGTGTTTTTGGCTTAGTATGTACGTAAACTTTTATGTTTCACTTTTATGGTTAGGCACACATTCACATCTATTATATACGTTGTATAATTAATATAACTTGATGATATTTTTTTTCTGTTTGCGATTGATAAATGGAAAAGAATTTGTTGTTCAAATTTGGTTAGTGATATAAGTTATATGTTTTGTATAAACGTAAAAATATTGGCCGATCGAAATAATGTATTAATAGATTTTTCTGTTTGACTAACTTTCTTTATACATATATGTTTTGTATAAACGTAAAAATATTGGTCGATAGAAATGATGTATTAATGGATTTTTCCGTTTGACTAACTTGCTTTATTCATATTTTAAATAAAGATATATTGAAACCAAACATGTATTCATGACTAAAAAAAAATATTTTATTAAATTTTGTAACAAAAACTCAAATCATTAATAAGAAAAACACATAAACACACTAAATTTAAAGTCATTTAGTCAAACCTAAAAATTTAGACGGGCCAAATGGGCCAGTCCGTGTCCAAATGGGCCAACCCGTTACGGACCAAAAAAATTTCAACCCATACGGGTTGGCCCGTCACGGATTGCGGGTTCTAAATGTGTGTTCAAACCCGTCCTGTTGCGGTTTTACTTGGGTTTAGTCCGCGGACCGCAGCCCATACTTACATCTCTAAATTTTTATTTATTAAGAACGAAAACTTTTATATAAGAGTGTTACAACTTTTTTTTGTTGTGGACAATAAGAAGAGAAAAATCAATAGAAAGCAGAAAATAGAGATGCTAAAGTCGAATGTTAAACCAATACATTAGTATGTCATCATAACAAATTAAGGATGGTCAAATGACCTTTATGTCACGTGTCGGTTTTCGGAAGAAGTGTGGTGCAAATTGACCCGTAACTTATTAAGGTCCAATTACACAGCAAAGTGGGAAAGAATTGTAGAGTTGTTGGTGGATGTATCGCAAGACAAAAATCGTTT